CACTGGACTGGGGACGGCGGCATCGGCCACTGGACTGGAGGAGGAGGTGTCGGCCACTGGACTGGAGGGGGAGACGTCGGCCACTGGACTGGAGGGGGAAACGTCGGCCTCTGGACTGGAGGGAGAGACGTCGGCCTCTGGACTGGAGGGGGAGGCGTCGGCCTCTGGACTGGAGGGGAGGCGTCGGCCTCTGGACTGGAGTTGAGGCGTCGGCCTCTGGAATGGAGGGGGAGACGTCGGCCTCTGGACTGGAGGGGGAGACGTCGGCCTCTGGACTGGAGGGGGAGACGTCGGCCTCTGGACTGGAGGGGGAGACGTCGGCCTCTGGACTGGAGGGGGAGACGTCGGCCTCTGGACTGGAGGGGGCGACGTCGGCCTCTGGACTGGAGGGGGCGACGTCGACCTCGGGACTGGAGGGGGCGACGTCGACCTCGGGACTGGAGGGGGAAACGTCGACCTCGGGACTGGAGGGGGCGACGTCGACCTCGGGACTGGAGGGGGCGACGTCGACCTCGGGACTGGAGGGGGCGACGTCGACCTCGGGACTGGAGGGGGCGACGTCGAACTCGGGACGGGAAGGGGCGTCGACCTCGGGACTGGAAGGGGCGTCGACCTCGGGACTGGATGGAGCGTCGACCTCTGGACTGGACGGAGCGTCGACCTCTGGACTGGACGGAGCGTCGACCTCTGGACGGGAAGGAGCGTCGACCTCTGGACTGGACGGAGCGTCAACCTCTGGACGGGAAGGAGCGTCGACCTCTGGACGGGAAGGAGCGTCGACCTCTGGACGGGAAGGAGCGTCGACCTCTGGACGGGAAGGAGCGTCGACCTCTGTCGGCTTCTGGCCCGAAGGCGCCGGCTTCTGGACCGCCGACTTCTGGACCTGGACTGTCGGCTTCTGGTTCAGAGGCGCCGGCTTCTGGACCGCCGACTTTTGGACCTGAACCGTTGACTTTTGGACCTGGACCATCTACTTTTGGACCTGGACCATCTACTTTTGGACCTGGACCTTCGACTTCTGGACCTGGACCTTCGACTTCTGGACCGTAGGTGTCGACTTCTGAAGTGGAGGCGGAGCCGCTGCTGGAGGGGCCGCCGACTTCTGGAGTGGAGGCGGAGCCGCTGCAGTCGGGACCGCTTCCTTGGCTGGTGCCGCCAGACTGGGCACTGACCACTGGACAGGCTGGCCTGGGGGCGGAGCCTCTTGGACAGGCTGGCCCGGGGGCGGAGCGTCCTGGACCACCGCTGGAACTGGCGCTGACTGGACTGGTGGCGCGGGACCTGGCGCTGACTGGACTGTTGGTGCGGGACCTGGTGGAACCGGTAACTGGAACAACAGGGAGGATAGATTGTCCAGCTGGAACTCCTGGAGACTGAGGATCTGACGGAGTCGGACCAGCTCAGCTCGGAGACCGGCGAGCTCTGTTGGATGGGCTGCGAGCTCGACCCTTTGGCCTGGAGACGAGAGAGCTGCTGACTGAACCGGAGGCGGGGCCGCTGGCTGGACAGAAACCTTCTCCTGGAGATACGGGGAGGATAGGGTGTCCAGCTGGAACTCCCGGAGGCTGACGAGCTGACGGATCCGGCCAAGCTCCGCCTGGAGACCGGCGAGCTCTGTCAGCTGGGCTGTAGGCGTGGTTCCTCCGCCTGCAGATGATGGAGGCGCTGATTGGACCGGAGACGGGACTGCTGGGGGCGGGTCCAAGCTGGCGCACCGAGCCGGGGCAGCTGCGAGCTCGCGGCTCCGTCCTGGGACAAGGGGTGACGGTGGAGCCCGGCATCCTTCCCAACGTCGTGGGCCAACTCCGGGGGAACACACAGCCAGTCTGGTGCCCACATAGCAGGAGCGGTCCATCTGCGCCTCCCCGTCCAAGTCTCCATCCAGCTCCGGGAGGGTGGAGAGGATCGCTGAGGCCCGGGCTCGGTGGCGGCGCCTGCGGCGAGGCGATGCCGGAGGAAGAGGAGCCGGCCGGTGGTCCACGGCGAGAAACTGGAGCAGGTTCTCCCAAGGGATAACCTCCCTGCTGGATCCTTCTGTGGGTTGGCTCATTCTGTCACGACGTGCCGGTGAGTGGAACGGAGGTGAGGATCCACACGCTGGGGAGGAATCAGTCAGGTAGACAAACTGGGTAACGTAAAAGGTTTTAATAATAAATGCACCAGGACATGGGAACAATGAGCCAACAAGAGACACAGAACTGGAGGGGTTTAAATACAAGAGGGCTGGGAGCTTGGGTGATTGGAAAACGAGAGACAGGTGGGAGCAATTAACAGAGACGCAGGCTGAACCAAATGGGGAGACAGGACAGGGTGTGACAGGCTGCAGTTTCAAATGTATCCACTAGATGGCAGTAAGCATCACACGCTCCCCTTTTAAATCGTGTTTGTGAATTTAGATTTATTCATTTACACTTTATCTTTATTTAAATAAAATTTATAATGAAATGACTATTTTTAAGTGAAACATTGATGCTAGTGTTATTTGTCATTTTCATTTGTTTATGTTTATGTATTTAGCAGACGCTTTTGTCCTAAGTGACTTACAAGTGATGGATCATTTGTGCATGAAAGTATTTCCCCAGTATCTGTCCTTATCTATTGTCACAAAACGTATTTTTCTGTTATTCTAAATTTTGTTTGAGTTTACCTGCATTAGCAAACAAAAATTGTTCTTGGTGTGAAGAAATCTAAACATCCACACTAAGAAGTTTACAGATATCCACAGATTGTGTAGTCATTTAGTGTTTACGTGCGCCACCAACTCCCATAAATCAATTGTCCCACAGTGATGGTGTTAGATCAGCCATCTGCTCTGAAAATATGGACACGGTCACAGAAAATCTCACAAACCATTGAGTGTATTCACAATAAAATAGATTATTTCTGATAAATGTGCAAAAACTTGTATTGTTTTCAGTCAAATTCTATGCTGCCATCAAGCCTCTCAACTGTTTTAAACATTTATTTAGCCTATCTGAGCTGCTCCTGATTTATATGCCCAGCTGGAGTTATGGGCCTTTTTTGTTTTTACTGTTTGTTGTGGCTGAGTTTTATGATTGATTCAGCTGAATGTAGTATTAGTTGTTCTTTAGACTCTAGTTGTCTTTATGGTTTACATTTGGACAAAGAATATTCCATGTACAGTTTAAATCAACACTGTCCAAGTTTTCAGAGTGGTGTAATCTGCCTTTAGCTGGAGAAATCTGTATAGTTATGAATGCATTGATATGCATTTATGCAAAGCGCTACCTCAGCTTGCAGGGCTGTCATTGCATGTCACTGTGTTCTCTTTTTCTGAACTTTCTCATTCCTTGTGTCCTCTAGTGAGTCCAACAAGGTTATGGATAACGTCTGGATTCAGTTAGTGTGTTTATATGATTACACATGCAGAAATATAGTTAGTGGCATGAATATGCACTCTTAAGTCTTCAGTATAGATCAGAGGTTTAACTAACCATCACACCTTTTAGAGTCCAAGGACTCCAAAGAGCTTTTCACTACAATGTATCATTTAACCATACACACACACACACACACACACACACACACACACACACACACACACACACACACACACACACACACACACACACACACACACACACACACACACACACACACACACACACACACACACACACACACACTGATGGTGATGAGCTACAATGTAGCCACAGCTGCCCTGGGGCACACTGACAGAGGTGAGGCTGCTGAACACTGGTGCTACCGGTTTCTCTGACCACCACCAGTGGGCAAGAAAGGTTTAGTGTCTTGCCTAAGAACACAGCAGTAGCTGGGATCAATCCTACAACCCTCTGATTACCGGACAACCCACTCTACCTCCTGAGCTGTTGCTGCCAACAAAACCATAAATATGTGCTAATACCAGCACATCAAATTGACTACTTCTTAAACTTTTAATCAACAGTGCCATGCCCATCCATAAAACTAGAACCCATTTTATAACAAAAGCTATTTTGAAGCATATTTTATTGCTAAATATGCAAATGAGAACCTCTTACAGCAGTAAGCCAGACATCTGTTGCTGCTGCCTCCGCTTTTCCGATACCGCTGCATGTAAAGATGGAGGAACTGACCTCGTTTTTAAACACACACACACACACACACACACACACACACACACACACACACACACACACACACACACACACACACACACACACACACACACACACGCAGAAGCTTTACAGAGGCACACCACCAACCTGTTGATGTGACTCATATTGTCTTGTTTAGCCGGAAGAGGTGCGGTGTCCTATATTGATGTGATGTTATTTGGCTAAATATTGTCAGAATAGAACATGTGTACACACACACACACACACACACACACACACACACACACACACACACACACACACACACACACACACACACACACACACACACACACACAGTGATGCCAAGCTATAAATGATTGAATTGATGTGCCTTTGATGATTTGTCCCAGTGAAACAGAGCTTCCCTGGAAAATGTCAGCTTTAAACTGAGATTAAACAGAATAGCTAAGCAGAACTGATGGGAGTGTGCGAGTACATGCGCTTGTGTGTGCGTGCGTGTGTGTGTGTGTGTGTGTGTGTGTGTGTGTGCATCATGGACCTCTGGGCTCCTCTCATAAAGCTCTGTTTGAGTCTTTATACATTGTAAACATTTTACATTTGTAGTCATGTTTGGTGCAGTAGGTACTGGAATTGATTTTTTTCTTCCTTAAATCAATCGTTTGTCAAGTCTGAACAAAGGAGAGCCTGAAAAGAATGTTTTGTCACCTATCCCACTCCAAGCAGATTTCTTAATAGTCAAACTTGCAGAGCTTTTCTAAAAGTTCAATGGAACACATTACAAAGGATGTTTTGTGTCCAACCGCTTTATAACGCCAAAAAACAGAAAAATGTTTCAGTCCAAAATGTATTCAGCCTTCAACTATTAAGCTATCAACAAGAAAGTTATCTAAAAAAGTCTTTTCTTCATCTCATATCCAGTGGTGGAGCGTGGTGACAGGTGAAGCCCTGCAGACCTTTTACCCAACGGGAAGCGCTTTGAAGAAAATCCACGTGTCGCCTGACTTCTCCACCTTTGTCACCATCGATAACATCGGCATCCTCTACATCCTCCAGAGGGTGGTGTGAGGACGGCGTCTTCTCCAAAAGACCAAATGACAACGGAAACAAATCAACACAATCCAGAAAAACGCTCTGGTTGTTTTAGTTTCTGAGGGACACGCCTTTTCATTTAAACACCAGGCAAGATTAACAATAACCACCCTTACACATGCACTTGCTAAATAGACCAGATTTGAACAAAAGTAGATCCTGGAAACTTTTTTTGCATTCTAAAGCCTTAAAGAAAGTGGGTGCAGAAACGTGGTTTGTGTATGAAATGTGAACTGTCAAGAGGAGATGCATCGTGGAATAACTTTGTAATTTGAAAAAAAGCAGGAAGATTTGTTATTGTTGCATTGTTTTAGTTGAACATTAATCCATACTGCTTTGGCACTGAACATCATCATGTCTGCTACACAGCAAGAACACACCAAAGATGTCTGCAGTGTTAGACAATCAAGATGAGCAAACTCACACCTTTGCATATGAAGGTCAGTCCACCTGAAACGTCATCTTCAGTATAAATGTTCTGAGCTTTTTGTTCTCAGCAGCCTTGGTCTTAAGAACTTCTGCAGGTACAAGAGCGTGTTCTCTGTAGATGGATTATGCTTCCTGTCTTCATCAGCACACACTGAACTGTAGGTGCGATTTGATGAGCATGAAAAATAAAGGGAATGATGTTTTAATGGTGGGAACATTTCAAGTCATACCCAGTCAAAGCCCGTGGAAGTATTTGTAATTTAGACGTGTTAATATGTTTAACATGAAAGGTTTTTCTACAAAAACACAATAATTTATAGTAAAATCCCCTCCTGTGCTTTGTCAATTTTCTTTCTAAATATCTTTGTACTAGATCTGTGCCACTTTTTAAAACACTTTTTATCTGTTTATCTTACTGGTAAAGCAGGAGGCATTGTTTACCTGTGAAACTTTTTATACTGTGAAAATGTTGTTCGTAAAAAGTCTTTAATCCATCAAAGCTGAAGATGATCTAGACTTGAGGTTCAGAAAAAGCACAAAAAACAATCTATGTGAGTTAACATTTGTGAACAATATGGTGTCCTTTTCCAACCTCCTGACTGGTGCTTTAACGTTCAATCAATGAATTTTCTTCCTGAAATGACGTCTTTGTAAAGTGGATGCAACAATACTGTGGTGCTTTGTAATTATTTATACAAGAGTAAACCATATTTACTGTTATGTGTTGCAGACTGTCAATGTTGGTCACCATCATTAATGATGATCATTTTGCTCTGTATGCTTTGTCTTTGCAATCACCTGCAGTCATGAAAAGGTTAAAAAACAAAACATTCATACACGGTTTGTGTGCAAAAGGCAAGCATCTTAATCCATCTGCATTAATTTATTTAACTGTGGAAGTAGAGGAATTGCCCATAGCCCTCTCAAAGACCTCTATTTATGTAGTTGCTGTGAGTGGTATTATCTAGACCAGTGGTTCCCAAAGTTGGGGTTGGGACCACTAAGCGCCACACAAGGGGGTCTTGAGATGATTTCCAATATCCATTTGCTGAAGCTATTTCTTGCTAGCATAGCCTTCCAGACTCGTCTGTTTGATTCTACACAGAGAATAAGGAAAGCATGGGCCTGAATGGTCAGGCTAATTTCTTGCATAATTGTTTGAATAGTGCAACTAAATTGCCATAAATATACAGTACAGGCGACGTTTGGACACACCTTCTCATTCAATGTGTTTTCTTTATCTTCATGACCATGACCCTTCACAAAGGGGCTAACAAGTGCTTAACACCTCGGAACTCCTTCAAGACCATTTCAGGTGACTACCTCTTGAAGCTCATCAAGAGAATGCCAAGAGTGTGCAAAGCAGTAATTAGAAGAAAGGGTGGGTATTTTTGAAGAAAATTGCATATAAAACAAGTTTTCAGTTGTTTCACCTATTATGTTCATTCAAAGTTTTGATGCCTTCAGTGAGAATGTCCCAAAGTAAATGGTCATGAAAATAAAGAGAACACATTGAATGAGAAGGTGTGTCAAAACTTTTGGCCTGTACTATATATAAATGAATATGAACTGAACTGTTTTTGCTCTGCATTATTTCACTTTCTTATTTAATCTTTCTGCCTTCAGGGCTGCATGTTGCTGATACTCATCGGACTATCCTGCCAAGTGTTTTCATTATTTGTTTTTTCTTATAGATCTTGTCCCAAGCCAGCCTCTTCAACAGGTCAAAGCAGATGGCTGCACTTTGTTTCATTTGGATCCTTTCTTAAAAAAATAGACATTGCCAATACAGTAATGTAGAAAGTTTAATTACTACCGAGTTATTTCACTCGGGTAACAAAAACATATTTTTGTTAAAAGAAAACAATGTGTTTAGCTACTTTTTAAACATCCTGAACACTGGAATGTGATTTATAAATATCTGGAAGCCCATTCCCACTACTCTAATGAAAACAAACAATGATCTCATAATTATGACTCAGCTATCTCATAATAATGAGATAGTATCTCATAATTATGATTTAGCATCTCATACTTCTGACATAGCTAAGTCAGCGATAGAAAGTCATAATTATGAGATGGTATCTCATAATTATGAAATATCAGTGAGATAGCGAAGTCGTAATTATGAGATACATTTTAGTGATGTGTCGGTCGCGAACGAACCGGCTCTAAGAGCCGGCTCTTTGAAGTGAACGACGGGAGCCGGCTCGTCATTGGGAGCCGTCCCCTCCCCTCCCCCCTCCCCCCTGCCTTGGTGAAAGCTACAGGCGATTGGTCAACATGTGTAACTGTGTGTCCAGACTGTCCACACACAGAGCAGTAGGGGCGGGGAAGAGGGAGGATCAGATTCAGACACAGCAGAGCACATGCAGGCGGAGGGAGACAAGAGGGAATGAGGAGGAGGAAAAAGGCGAGCGAGAGAGAGGAGAGTGTGACGAAGACGGTGAGAAAATGAGCGCCAGCAGTCGGAAAGTGGAGATTTCTTAAAGTGTTCAGTTATTAAATCCATAGAAATGATAAATATTTGATATATTGCTTTTTTATATTAGTAAATTATTTTACAGATAGTTTAGCATTATTTTGGTTATAAATGTACTCTACGCAACAGAAAATCTGAGGAGCCACTTGGGAGCCGAAAGAGCCGGCTCTTTTTGGTGAGCTGAGCCAAAAGAACCGGCTCTCTAAAAAGAGCCGGAATTCCCATCACTAAATGGGCTTCCACAATTGCACCTAAACTTGTGTTGTCACATAAAACGCAACAAACTGTAAGTAAATAAAGTTTTCAACAAAAAAATAACTGCAACCAACGATCCACCGCTAAGCATTCTGGGAGATTGAGAGCTAAGAGGTAGCTAAACTAATAGTCTGGGAAGAAAATCGTAATTTGGTGGCTAAAATACAACAACATTTGCAATAATAAAAATAGTTTAAGGAGTTAAAAAAAAAGCGAAGCGTTTTTGCCAGAAACTTAGCTAGCATTAAGCTAGCAGCTAGTTTGAGGTGGCACGAGCTAACGAAGAGCTGACATCTTTACACAATCAAACTACTTGAAAACACCTGTGGGCTTCACCTTGACCGGTTTTCTATCACCTAAAGACGTTTGTGTTACAGTAAAGACAACTTAACGTGTATTCCAAGATTCCTGAAAGTATTATTGGATAGATTCTTCCAGATGGCAGCCTAAAATAAAGACGGTAAGAGATCCATTACCATTATTAGATCCATTATCAATTTGTGCTTTTTATGTTAGCAATCGTCTTTATCAAGTGTTTATGTGAATTATGCTATAACATCGACTCGAAATGTTGCTTTCACTCCCATCACTTTATTTATCTGGCATTTCCCTGCAGATTTGTTTAATGAGGATACCACGATGAAGGATTATTGACAGAACATTATAGTGTCTTGTGGGTTTTTTGGTTTGTTTCATATCTTCCCTAACGTGTTTGTGCTTTTGTCTACATTGTTTAGTGAAGGTTTGTTCTGTAATCAAGAAAGCGAACATTTCACAAGTTAACACTGCTGCTTCAATTTTGCTAAATTTTAAAGAGTACAAGTGTTTAGCTTTTGTTAAAAGTAGAAACTCTAAATCATATTTCCTTTAACAAGTTTTTTTCTGAATAATTGATCCAAACGGGTCTACTTCTCCAGTGTTATAATAAAACCACAATTTTCATTAAATCATGTTAATATTTTCTATATTGGCCTAGGCTAAATAAAGTAATACATTTTTGTCTTTGCATCAGCTGAGCTAATTTAGTGATTGTTTTAGTATGTATTCATCAGTGCAGCTTAGAGCTAACTAATGTCTTGTGTCTATGGTTAGTGAAGCTGTTGTGTAGGTATTGGTGCTGAATTAATTAGATTTGAACAATGACTATAAACTAGTTGTGACCCGGACTATAAATAATCTCTGTTGTATGCTGAGTGGTTTGTTTTCAACTTTTGAGTGTTTTTAAAAGTGAAGAAGTCAAATCACACATTCTGTGTTACTGTATCAAAAGGAATTGCTTGTAATTTGCCCACCCCGTCCTCATGTGTCACATTTATACATCTACATTGATAGTTGGGGTAGGGCTGGGCGATATGGCAAAAATAGAATATCACAATTTTTCCAATATTTTATCACGATTTCGATTTTATCACGATTTTTTATCCATGAATAGCATAACTTCAATTGCGTATTAAAGAAGAGAAACATTGAATAAATAAACATTTATTCATATTAGGGATAATCAACACAGTGCTAACACACTTATATTTTAAACTCACACCAGAGATGATAAAAGCCCTGAGAGAAACAATTACAAAAATCAGTTTTTCTCGTTTTTCAAGTAACTTAACATAAATTAAAATCGTAAACATATTTAAAGTGCAAACATGTCAATTGCAAACGTATTGTGCAAACATTAACTTGTTCAAAATACTATGTAGCTCCCAGTTGCTCATGTAGTGGATAGTTGAGCTCAAATACGGCTCTGATGTGCGGCTGGACCAGAGATCGCTTGTGGTAGCAAATAACTGCGCATTCTGAATATTTTCTGCAACTCTCACTTTGCATTCAGCGTGCATGCGTGGAATGGCTGTGTTCGAAAAATACTTGCGGCTGGAAAACTCGTAGCGCGGATCCAATGTTTTTATCATTTTCTTAAATCCAACTCCTACTGTTCACACGGGACACAAATCTTTAACCAAGTGGTACGCCACTGCATCTGTCACGCTGTTCCATCGTCTGCTGTCTCTGTCGTAGGGAGTGAGTTTTGTGAGTGTTTATGTTAGCGTTTGCTGCCTGGAAGAAGCACTAGCCGCTGCCGCTGTAGCTGCAGGCTTTTAGCTTTAGCTGCCAGCTAGCTCTCATTGTATTGTTTGGGATGCCTTCTTTTCAAGTGATTAAACAAGTTTGTGGTGTTGCCATCACTTGCCTTGACGCTCTCCTTGCAAATGACGTTTCGCTGCTCTTTGTCATCTGGTGAAAAACCAAACCATTTCCATATAATGGACGAGGCGTTTCTCTTCGGAACAAAAACCTCGTCGCTCTCAGCCGCGGCCGAATCCATGTTTGTTCACACACAGGTGAAAACAAGCGGGTCACTAATACATTACTATGACTCACTCTGATTGGTTAAGGGTCAAACAAAGGCGTGTCATTCACCTGAGGTAAGTTCCCTTTTCATTCGGAGGCAGAATTTCAAAAGCAGAGCTGTGAATCCTGACAAAAAGGTCTCTCAAAAATGACAGACCGTCAGATGTGTAGATCGTAAAACGGTCTAAAATCATCATATCCCCCAGCCCTAAGTTGGGGTGTACTTGTTTGCGGTCCTCTGAATCATAATCGGATTAAACAATGAGGAGCCCAAAGGTTCCCACCTCAAGCAATGACAGCACATTGGTGCCAAAGAGAAGAAAAAAAGTGTGAAGACTGAGAGGAAAAGTGGATTAGCTATTTCCAGAAAAAGGTAGAAAAGTATTTCAAGAATAGTTTATCATTGTTGTTACGGCCGCCGCTGTTTTGGAGCCCAGTGGTGTGCACGAGAAGTCTGCAGGACACAGACAACACTAGCCTCATGCCGCAACCCTAAAAGAAAAACAACAAACGGCAACACCCTAAAGAGGGTGAAGCCCTTGTGCCTACAAGGGGCCCTGGAAGGAGGAGTTAAAACAAAATGTATCTGTTGTATGTCTCTGTGATTGGACGTTACAGGTTACCATATCTTCGG